GCTGAAGAGTGTTTTTATATATACATTATATAAATCATTTTAATTAATCATTTGTTCAGGAAAAATGAATAGAACAAAGAGAAAAATTGGAAATTTCATCACCTTTTCGCGGTGACATGACTTTCGAGGTCACTTGCGTCATAGTGGAGCCGTCATTTTCAATTTTATTCACTTTACAAATTTACCAGTCTTATTGATTTTGGAGGTTATGTGGTCCTAAAACAAACATAATTTTGAAAAAAATGATAATAATCGAAACTTTAAACCAGGGTCTACCTTAGTATAGGTTTGGTGGTTTCATGTACGCCCTTCTTTCAATTTGTAGGTCTGCATTTCCCTTGCCAATAAACTACCTTAATTAATTCCATTTGAACATTAACATTCCACGTGACCATGGACATACATATATCCTAATATAGACTGGCAAAGTCGGACATTCATTTTTGTTTTACAAAAAGAAATAATTAATTAAAAGTCCTTGTAGCGTGGTCGCGAAAACTAACGTGACCGCGAAAGAAATCTTGACTGGAGGCATCTGTGAGCATTTGACTGCTATTGAATTATTAATGTCATTGATCGGAAAATGGAGTCGATGCCTACGAATTTGACTGCGACAACACCGTGGAAGAAGGTTGGGATACATTAAAGCGCGGTAGTCGTAACGCTGCGCATGTGCGACATTTGTGTTGATAAACATTGATTTACCCACAATCCAATGCGCTCTTCAAATGGAAATCACAAGTATGAGGTTTGACCTGGGCGCGACTTGCACTGATTACTGTCGGTGACTATTTGATACCTTTGAATAACATGAAAATTACCTAATTAAAGCTTGGAAACGTCTCAGTTCGTACTCGGTGATCTGCGCAACAGTCAAAGTCGCCATCTCTGTTTATGAGACCCACGACTACCGCGCTTTAACTGTGCAAACGTGATACTTTCATCGATGTTTACTGAAAACAAGTCGATTTAAATGTCTGATGTATATAAGTAGTCTTTCAAAATCGTCGGGACTGTGAAGTGAAAGGTCACGTACATTAACATAGATACGATATGACCTATACAGTCAACAAATTTTAATTAGCATAATCACAGGAGTGATTCCGATTCCCTCCAACGCAGGGGGTTATCTGCAAATGCGTCAATTCGAAATTTCTTTCGCGGTCACACTAGTTTTTGCTACCACGCTAAAATAGCTAAATTGAATTAATTATATATTTTTTTAAAACAAAAAAGAAGTCCCGACTTAATAGTTAATCATAATCATAATACAGTTGTAATGTTTACTGTGAAATATCACTAATGTAGCATTTTGAACGTTGCAGTACTGTATTTGGTTCATTAGATTTCAGTCAAAGCATTATAACTATGGGTATGGTTTGTAATCCGGACATAGTTTTAAAATTTGGGAGAGTGGTATCATGCAGTACAGCGAATTATGTAAACTGTCAACATTACGTTGTTTTTCCACCGGTACTGAACAGAGAATGTCAACTCAGCCTAGGAAGTTAACTTTTTGGCAAAGAGCAAAATGCTCCTAAGCACTAAAAAATTAGGAGCAAAATGCTCCTAAACCTAAAATTTTAGCAGCAAAATTGTTTCATGC